TCCTGGGTACTGGGCTGCTTCTCCGCCGGATTGGCGTTCTCCGTGTCACTGTGCTTGGCATTCAGCTGCTTCACCTTGGACAGCACCAGTTTGGGCAAGACGGGAGATCCAACAAGTGGCTGTTTCTCCACCGTTGTGGCTTTCACTGCGGCTCTGCGTGTTCGTCCTGCAACCGGGGATAAGGTAGCCACAGGAGCCGTCCTGGGTTTCTTGCCACCTCCTGCTTCAGCAGCGGCTTGAGTGGTGACCCTCTTCAGCAGAGCCGATTGGGGTTTGACTTTGTTTTGTATTGGGGAAACACCGAGAGCAGCCTTCGAGGTACTTGGTTTGTCCTCAAAAGAAGCGTCCGATGTGCTGGAGCTATGGGATGTTTGATGTTTGGATTTGTCAACCAGCTTTGAGGCGAGACTTGGTTTTGCAACCTTTTTATCCTCCTTTTTTGATGAATTTGAGGATTTCGAACTTGTCGAGGTAGTTGGTTTTTCCTCAAAAGAAGTGTCAGATTTACTGGAACTATGACAGGCTTTTTGTTTGGATTTTTCAACCAATTTTGTTGCAAGGCTGGGTTTTAAATCTGTTTTAACCTCTTTGGCTGCACTTGATTTAGCAATTTGTGATTCTTTCTTAATAGATTTGGCAGTGGAAGATGAAGAATTGCCAGGTTTGGGGGCCTCCTTCTTTGTACTTTTATCACTGCTCTTATTTTCAGCCTCTTTGGAAGCAGTGGCTTTAGGTTTAGTTGCCTTCTTGTGTTTTTTGGGCTCCTCATCCTCAGTCTCCTCTTCGGTCTCGACCGTCTGACTTTTGTTCTTCTCCTCCTGCTTTAGTTTAATGGGAATCAAATCACTGGCCCCCGGACGAAGCGGCATTGGCTGGAGATTGACGATCAGGCGACAGTTCATGCCCATTCCTCGCGCAAGGACAATGAATATGAAGATCATATCCTGCTTGCAGCGGGCTTCCTTGCGTTTGATCTGCGCCAGCAAGGCATCCAAAATGTCCTTTTTGGTGGCACTCGATTGCTCGGAATATAGACTGGGACTTAGCAGCTTAATGGCCGTCTTGAACCAGGTGACAAAGGACTGCATGTATTTCAGTTCGGTGCCCCGTTCCGTGGGATAGGCATTCCGACTGGGCAGTAGCTTCAGGGCAGCTTGCCTCAGGGCATCCGACTCGCCCAGCAATCGATTGTACTTCAAACTGCGAGCTATCTGACACATCAGGCTAACCTTGTGCAGCAGCAGCTGGCGTTCCTTGATGTCCCGATTGAGACGACGCTTCAAGGCCATCTCCAGCTCGAGCTGGGTCTTCTGTTCCCTGGTGGGTCGCAGTCCCTGGAGGCCCACGTGGATCTCAAGGTCGCCGGATACGTTCGGCGTGACGGCCTCCTCCTCGTCGTAGGAAAGTTCTGCATCTGGAAAGGGAATTGGAAGCGGGGTGATGATGAGGCACTGAACTGAGTGAAAAAACAGTGATGGGAACTGTTAGCTTTTCCTCTAGAAGGTTATATAGTTTAAAATATACAACATAATTTGAACTCAATTCTATACGTTTTTAAATAGTTTCCAATAAATATAAATTTAAAAGCATATTTATTAGATTTTGTATAAAAAGTGTAACACAAGTTTTAACGATGTTTGATATTTAAAGAAAAATAAAATAACTATTTCAAGATACTAAGACACTTCCCATCACTGATGAAAATGCGGGAGGATTGGGCAGGGAGGGCAGATGTATAACACCCAGACAGAGAGCTTGGAGTCCTTTCAACATTTTGCATTTATTTATTTATATCATTTAAAGTGCATTTTAAATTTCAATTATCGAGTTAATTACATTCAACATTCACTAAATTGCGCTAAAATTACGAGTTTCATTTGATTTATTGCATCGTTTATTTGAGTATATCATTAGTTAATTAGATGTCATACTCTGCATGCAGATGTTTTTTATGTTAAGTGAATACAATTTCGCTAAAGTAAATTCGTTAAACATCAGTTCTAATTCGTTAGCTACTTGTTAATTTCTCTGAAACACTTGCAATTGCCATAAAGTAAGTACACAAATAGTTGACTTGGCCATTTGACTAGCTATTCAAAATTATTATTTATATACTGGTTTTGCGTTTAAAATCTTCTTGTATTTATTCGTTTTGATTTGGTTAACTGGAGTCTTTGGGACTTTGTCCTGTTTCGCGTGGCAAACCGAAATTGAAAACTCACCAAAACAATTAAAATAAATGCATTTTCTGAGAAAAGTATCGTGATTAACAGATTATTTCGATAGGTGCTCGTGTGCAGACATTTAAACCACGTTTAAAATTCGATAAACATACAGTTTATGCTTTAGACTTGTCATCCATTTAACACGCAGATTGAGCTTAAGCTAGTGCAAAAACGTTTAGAAATGTTTTTAGTTGATTTGATTTGTTTGACATTTAAAAAGAAACATTGATTTGATTTTAACAAGCTTTTATGATAGTTATTCCATTTGATCTTTTCTATAGATTTAAGTTGTTTTTATTTTCCGCGGACAACTGGGATTTGATTTTGTTAGGTTTTTGGCATCTCCTTAATGAGGGCATGCATCAACGGACTCATGGCCTGGTTAAGTGGGTATAAATAGGTTAGTAAGCCAAGTTTCTGGATAAAGCGTTCTCAGCAAGAGCCATCTCATACGCTAGTTCCTCAGTCTAATCGACTAACAATATGTTACAGTAAATAGGTATTTCGTAGATACATGGCCATTATTTTGACGCGGCTCTTCCAAATGTACATTCATGCATACAGTTGCGGTCGAAATAAGGGCATTACAATATCGAGTTTTGATACAAACCCAGAGAATAAAAGTTTGGAATACATTAAACAATGTTCATTTGAACAGATAAATCAATTGTAAATGGGTTTCTATCTCCATCTCTAATTAATTAAGACTAATATGTTAAATCATGCTCTTGTTTCGACCGCAGCTGCACGGATCAGTTAGTAATTTCTATCTTCACATCGACAAATAAACTTAGTACAAACAAAACTACACAGTCTCATACAGAGCAATTTGGAAGCTTTTTTTTTTGTTTATCAGATACCAGAAATGCCAGCGCCACAACCACAACATTTGGTAATACTCCACATACTCCACTGCCTCCTGCCATCTTCGTGGAGCCAAACTACTTGCATTTTCGCCTACCTGCCACTTCCTCAAAATCGGAATCATCGGTGTCGCCGGCAGTGGCGACCACTGTGGACACGGGTCGCGTCTTGGTGTGGCGCTTGATCCGCGTCGACTTGGTTTTGCTCAGGCGCGACGGTTCATCCAGGGTCGGTGGTGCAGCAGCAACTGGTGGTGCTCCTCCTCCTACTCCTCTCCCTCCAACGCCCGCCTTCTGCTGCCGCTGATTACCCTCCCGTTCCTCCAACTCCACTCTCTGGTAGTTCTGGTTCTCGCCCAATGCAAGCAGCGCATTGACATCCATGGTGGCAGCCTGGCTACTCGGCGGAGTGGCCGTGGCATTCCGCTTGCTAAGTGCATCCCGTGTGCGCTCCAAGCTGTTCGCGTTCTCCAGGAGACCGCGAAAGTCGAAGGCATTGCCTGCTTTATCCTCGAAGCTGCTCTCGTTGTTGTCCTCCGAACCGGAGCCGGAGTCCGAGAGATTCGTGATGCCCGCATTGCAATCGAATTGGGGCGCCGGCGACTTCTCCTTCTCCTTCTGGCCGCCGGCAAAGAAGGTGGAGTGCAGATCGAGTTCGGCGGGATTCACCAGGTAGTCCTCCACACTGGATTCGCTGCTGGAATCAGCAGGATCGTGCTGATCCCGTGCACCGCTTTCATTGGGCGTTCTGGCGTTTTTTGAACCCGAAGCTCGAGGCGAGTTCTCCTGCAGCTGCTGCTGCTGCTGGGATGGTGAAGTGGGAAAGGTCTTGGGTGGCGGTCGGTATTTGTTGTACAGCTTGGAGCGCAGTGACTGGCCACTGGGCTTGCGTTTCTTCACGGAGGACCCCTTGATGCCGCTGGGCGGCTTTTGTTCGCTGCTGGGCGATGGGGTTATTGGTGGGGTAAGTAAGTAAGTAAAGGCTAGCAGAGGATTCTGACCACAATACTCACCCCTTTTTGCCCGCTACGGCCGAGGAGCGTCCGCTGGAGCCAGCGGCTCCTCCCTCCGCCTGCAGATCATCGAAGTCGCTGTCGTCGTCGTCCGACGACTCCCCCTTGGCGTCCTCCAACTTCCACTCGTCCTCGCTCGCCGAGAATCCTTCGGACACGGAATCCTCCTCCTCGTCGGACATCTTCCTTTGCTTTTGGGGGCGCTTTACATTTATGTATCGCGAGGCGTGCCACTTAGTTATTGATTTTTACTGCGCAGTTTTTTGGGGCACGCGTTACACAAGACTATCCTTTGTGCCTCTACCTTCTGTTTAGTGGGTTAGGTCGTGATTTTAACTGATAAATTTGCCCCTGTTTAAGCTTGGACGATTTAAATGAATTGCGAAATTCACATTTTCGCGCTTGGGTAGAAAAACAGGCAAAAAGCAGAGGCCGAGAACAGCGCGTCAATGACCAGTGTTGGAAGGTGTCCAGATTCCAATGGGAATACATTTTGAATCGTGTTCCCACTTTGGTTATCTTCTAACGGTTTCATGGCGATTATATCTAAATAATTTAATTTAAGCCTATTTTCTTAAGGTTAACAAAACAATGAGTTGTTTTCTGCAAGAAAACATTATAAAACAAAATATTATGAACAAACAACAACAACCACATTATTCATATGGAAGATCTTAAGACTAACAAATGTATATAAATAATAATAAACATATATATTAAATTTTAAAATTAATTTTCTGTACGTATGTAAGCTTAATACATTACATTAAATGAAAACAACTTTAATTTTATTAAAACTATATTTAAAAGTAAAAGACCAAAATATTTCACCGCAATTTTTCAGGTCTATCGAGTTTATGGGAACAGCCATCGCTAATCGATTTACTTGGGCACTTGACAACACTACCAGAGTACATCTGTTAATTGTTTATTTACAAAATTAATTGAGCATATTAGGAATAATGAATTCCTCCGGTGAACTGCATCCAAATTGGCTGGCTCTGACCACTCTGCCCCTGCAACTCAAGCGGTTCGTCCGAGCGGGCGAACCGGATTTTGTTCCCGAATCGCCAATTCAAACCAAACACAAAATTGATGGCTTAAATGGATTGGAGGCCCAGGAGTTCTACAAGGAGGTGCTGGATGCACCTACCACCTCCCAAGTTCCAGTTCCTCGTCCTAGTACAAGAAAAGAAGCAAGCAGAGTCCCAAGGAAACCAAAACTGCCTTTTGATAGGAGCAAGTTCTTTCGTTTGGCCACCAGCAACAAAGTGGAGGAGTTGTCCCAAATGGAAATCTCGGAAGAGGAGCTTAACTCCCGGGATTCCTTTGGTTGGACCGCCTTGATGATGGCTGCCTGCGAAGGAGCCACCGAAGCAGTAGCCTGGCTTCTCCAGAAAGAAGTCCATGTAGAGATTGCTGACAAATCCGGGAATACAGCTCTAAAGCTGGCCCAGCGAAAAGGGCACTTGGAAATAGTACAACTATTGGAAACTCTACCCATTTCCGGCGAAACCAGCGATGAGGAGGAACCAATGGATGTCAACAGCCCCTTTTACTGCGAAATCTGCAAACGGGATTACAAGGAGACCACCTGGCCAGTTCATCAAACCTCCACAGTGCATCAGTTCAATCTGAAGGCCCTGCCCGCCCATAAACTGCACAAGTTCAATATATCCGCCAAGAATCGGGGTCTCCAGTTGATGGTGAAGCAGGGCTGGGATCAGGAGCACGGCCTGGGGCCGAGTCAAAGCGGTCGATTGTATCCTGTTAAGACCGTTCTGCGCAAGCAACGCACAGGCTTGGGCATCGAACAGCAGCCGGCGAGGGTCACCCACTTTGGAGCCTTTGACTTAAACGCTGTTAGGAGAAGGGATCCCATTTATCAGCCGAAACGAACGCGAAGCGATATGCAGCGTGAAAAGGTGCGGGAATGGAAGCGGGAGAGGCATCTACGCAGGGAGTTAAGCTAAATTATTACATCTTGAAGATTAGAATTATACAATGTATATAAATACAAATTATGTCGACCTATCATTTATTTGTATTGTACATCAAAGACCAAATTATTAAATTCTAAGATTGAACACCAACAAAATGAAACTTAATTAATATGGGAGATTTTAAATTATGTTTTTCTTATTGCGTTTATAAGGCTATAGAATACGAATACCATAATGCTAGTTTTCAGCCTAACAACTTGCAATGGAAAACCTCCATATAATAACAAATATATAATAAAATAAAGAAAACTGTGTTTGACTATAAGATTAGAGATGCATTAACATCTGTTTTTCAACTATTCTAAAAGAAAATTATCTGATTTATTTAAATGCTACCTAAGTTAACAACAAAACATCTGTTGTTTTTAAATCTATAGAATGTGAATAGTAAAGTACTTATATAAAACTAAAAGATTGTTGTTTTTATTATATCAATTCTATGCAGTTGGCAAATTAACAAAAAGTTCGTTTAATCTCATTCCTAATACAAAACTAAACTTTTTCCAAGTAATACAACTTGATTTAAAACTATTAGTTCAAAAAATATAATTAAACACTTGGTTGATCCTACATCGGTGACCTTGGCTTGCCCAATCCTTTCCAGCACCACCTACTGCCAACTATTCTGTGTGCTTATGTTTAGGACTTAAAAAAAAGTTGTTAAAAGGAGTGTGAGTTTCGGATAATACTGTTGCATGTGCTCTCTCTCCGGCACTTTCTCTCTCCATGACATCCTGAAATCCTGACCCTGAGGCCGCGTTGACACGGTTTCCGCTTTGCGCCTGCGTCCTGCGGTTTCTTTGACCCCCACTTCGAACGGTATATAAGGAACTTCTCCGAAATCCTGCGCCCAGTCGTGTTCGGACTGCTGTACCGTTAGGAGGTTCCCGTTTTTTGTACCGCTAGCAAAAAGCGGCCGCGGAGTGCAATAAAAATAAGTTTGCAGTGCGTGTTTTAAAGTTGTACTCACACGCTCGGCAATTAAAAGTGGGAGTGCGGCACCCCAAGGTCACCGCTAGCAGGCGTTCCACTTTGGGTAAACAGCTTAAGTGAATTATTAAAGTGTTTGGAAAAAACGGTTGGTCAACGGAAAAAGAATTTTAAATTCAAAATGTTTATTCCGAATTGCAAAGAGATGGCAGCCCTGGCGCTGCCGATCATCAACACGAACAGCTGATTGGTCCCGCGTGTGTGAGTGCGTGTGTGTGTGTGCAAGAGAGTGTTTTGCCGCAATTTGTTGTTGGTGCTCCAACGTGTGCGGTTCGCTGCGCGCATTTAAATAATTTTTAAAATAATTAACAAATATGCCGACGTCTTACTGCTAAACCGTTATCGTGCGCTGTGCTAGTGCTTTTTTGTGATATTCGTGTGTGTAGTGTCCCGTTACGTTAACCGCTGTCCAAAAAACGCGCAATTGCGAAATACGCAAAGCTGGCAAGAATTACACTTACATATTTCTGAATAATTAAACTAAATACGCGGCCATGTGATTGCACCGTGGGTGATAACAAACAAAACTTTACCAAAGTCCTCGGAATAACTCAGTTTTCTCCCACGGGCTCTGCAAAAAACAATATTATTTAATATACGCTCAGATGTTCTTGGGCTTTATGGTTTATTTTCGTAGCATTTATTTCGGTGATTTGTTTGGTTTGCATTGAACATGTACATATCGTTCTGCTCTCTTCGCACGCTTCTCTCTCTTTGCGTTTTGTCCTCTCGCTCTCGGATCGTCAGCCTCCCCCTTTTTTTCCAATCCCCACCCCTTCCCCCTCCGATCAGGGCCCTCTCCATGAACTTGCCTTGTTGTTGGAATTTTTCAGTGACGGATCAAGAAGGGGTGAAGAGTTCCCCTTAAAGTACACATAAGTAAGACACAATAATCGAATACAAAAAAAAAATAGTTTTCCCTTTCAAAATTAAATTATTTATATATATTGCCGAACTACGATAAAAGGCCGAACTATTCTTACCACTCCCAGAGATCTAGTTTTACTTGGTTAACTCATGTGAGCTAACATAAAATTCATCTTAAATGAATTTCAATCAAAAAGCTCCCCTTCCCCCAGTATTTCATTCTACACGCGCCACTGGACCTTACACGGCATTTCTTTCCCATTAACCCCATCGATTCTATTATTTAGACAACACAATGCTATAACCAGTCGAGTGCAGAGGGGGAGGAACAAATAATAAAAATAGGAAAAAACTAAATAGAAAATTTTTATTATCTCAGCGATGCCTTGAAATGCTGCGAATCTGTTCCGAGCTTGCTAAATGTACACTTTCCAAAAAACAGTCCCTTCTTAGTCATCGCTAGTATTTACAAATTGCGATCATGTTTTTCTATGTACAGATCAACTTGCCTACAATCATACAATCATTTTTTTGCACTTTTTGAAACTCGATATTTACTGAAAGAAACAAAAAATTTGCTTCAACACTCTTTATCTTTGATGTTTTATGACTCAAACATGAATCGTTTTTTTTCATAGTCATCTTGTGTATTTCCTCGAAGCTATAATGTCTTTTAAAGCAAATTTAAATCGGATAAAAGAGACTGTTCTTACATATTCATAAAGAAAATTCTTATCAAAAGTTTAAGTGTGCAGAATAAACGTTTTCTTAACTGAACGAGGAATTTAATTTTTTATTCGAATTAATATATTAATTACTTAGACTTTTTTTCTAGTAAAAAGACATAACCATTAATGGTTTGAGCTATTGAAGTTCAACCGTATAAGCAGAAGGCCAAGCAGAAGCTATTTACTTCAGTGCTTGGGTGGAATCAAATCTCGTAAATCTTTAAAATCGTAAACCAAACAAATGCATAAGAGCCGAAATGAACATGTTCAATGTTTATTATTGTAAAATAAACCAAGAGAGGCGGACCGAAGAGCTCAGAAATGAGATAAATGAAATGCCAAAACTTCCGGGTCATTGCCTGAGCGCAATAGCAATGGCAAATGGCAATGGCAGTGGGGAAAAGTCGAGTTTCCACTCTGGGGCTCTTCTTTTTCTAAGGGCCCTTCAATTTTCATTTTCCTTTGTGATGCAAACTAAAACCCAAATATCTGCGTGTAGTTAAAATAAATTGCAATCAAACGAAACTAAGCAAACACACGGATATTATATTATTTAAATTTCTTAATTGCTAAACACTGTAAATTCCTGCCGTATACCCTTAGATTGTTTATCCAAATACCCTGCCAACATTCTGCGGAGACCGACATAATAACCATTAAAGCAATTACAACAATTATAAACAACAATATCGAAATGAGCAATACAAAACGCATGAACTTGAAAAACAAATTTAAGCATGCTTGATCCAACATTTGGGCATCCAGGTCTTAAAAGTGTCTACGAGAAAAGCCCCAAAAACAGCAGCAGAAGCAACAGCACTCGCAGTTTCGTTCATTCAGCATCAACTATACGCAGAGACAAGTGTTACTGCTCCAGCGTTTTCCGCCTGGCCGCCTTTTCCGAGTCTTTTAAGTGTTTTCCCAGGTAAGTCTACCTAGATAAATGCAAATTAATTCGCAGTACGCTAGTGAGCGTTTGTGCACAAGGGGAAATAAAAAGTGTGTACCATTTTCTGTGTAGCCAAATGTACTTAAATGTACTTAAATACAACCAAAGAATATATTATCTATATATTTTATAGTCAAACAAATAAAATATTTTTTATATGTGAAACAGTATCAAACAATTATAAAACAGATGGTAATCTTGGGAGTGTAATATGATTTTGAAATAATACAACAAAAAATACATCAAATTTTAAATTTTAAAGAATTTTTATTTTCCGGAATTCCAAATGGAATCCAAGTTTTGGTGCGATGTTCATGTGTCTGCACATTGCAGGGCCGATGGCTGGCATAAATCTCTTACCTGAAGGAATTTTCTAATATCGCGAAGGTGCTGCATACCAAGCGGTGCTTGAAATGAGCAATTTGCCAAAACTTTCGGCATAAATCGTTGCCCAAAGTCTGCGCCCCTTAAAGCTACGCCTCTGGCAGCAAGTGTGTCAGTAGCGTGGCGCAAAAAAATTAACAGAAATTAGGCCTGAAGTTTGTTGGCAAGCTCGCAAATGTGTTGTGGCTTAAAGGGATAAAGAGCTTTTGCGTGGAGCAACAGCAGTAATTAACATTAATAAGACTCAGGCTAGTGGTGAAGGAGGTTTCGGCTGGGTATCATGGGGTTTTCGGGGGGAACTAAAGTGACGACTGAGTGACGAGCCTCACATTACTCATTCGCAAGACGTATGCATGTGATTTAGTAGGAGGGCCCAAACTTGCCAGACAACTGCTCTCTATTCTTTCGTTTTCCTTCTCAAGGCCACGCGATTTGAAATATGCACATAAATTAGAAATAATGTGCGTGCGACTTGTTAACACGCCCTATGGAAAGTTATTTACGAAAAACCCACACACAAAAACGCGCACAAACTTTTCCCAGGCCAAACTTTAACCCCCAAAAAATGTGTCCTGTTGTGGCCAGTGTCAACATTTCAATAGGCTCTTAATTGCCCCATGGAAGGGCTTGACATTCCGTAGAGTGGCAACAACAAAAAGATTGATACATTAATTAAGCCAGGGACCGGGCTATGAAAACTCCTTCTCGATTTTCCCTCTTTAGCGGGACTTTCATTGTTGCCGCTCTTAATTGGCTTTCCCGGGAGCGGAAAAGGTCAGCGAAGTTTGATTACATTTTCTTTAAAAAATCTTAATTGAATCCTGATTACGGGTTACAGCCAGCTTCCTACGCGCAACTACGGTTAACTATCGGAAAATGCGAAAATCCCAGGTCGTTTGGCGACGTTTTATTAACGTGCCATTGACTCTCGAGACTCTAAATGTTGCAAAAATGTCAGCCAGTCAGTCGGTCAGTCAGTCAGTGGGTCGGTCGAAAGTGGAGGAGGCATTCGATTGAGCGTGTTAAAGTGGCTCAGCAAAAGGCAACATATACGGCTAGAAGGATGCCAAAAAACTTGTGGCAGCGGCAACAAAGTTCATTGGAGCGCGAAATCGACTCAATGCATTAGTCGTCGGGAGTGGAGAACGGCAGAAAGACACGTAGAGCAAACATTTGCGACTTATGAGTGCGATTATATGGGAATGCCAGAGTCCGTAGTCGGTAGTCTTCCCGGATAGGTGAACATAAAGCCCGATGGTATAAAATTGAAAATTATGACACGCTGTTGGCAACAA